TGCAGATCTAACAAAGATATAGAAACTAAATACTGATTTTCAAACTACTGTTACAAATGCTTGCACTGACAATCCTCCTTCAGAGTTTATATATAAAAGTGAGCCTGTGCCCTACACCCACTACCTCTATTACATCACAGCAACCAATTTATGTACACCCAAGGGCATCAATGTCCATTTTATACACAAATTCTATCACAATACCTTAAAAAAAAAACTTTGAGCTGGCTTTGACTAGTGTTATCAAAACATAAAGAATGATCAGATAATGATTTCATGTTTTTGACTGCATCTGCAATTTCATAAAACCAATTCTTCCACCCTCGTAGCAGACATCCCTGGCCTGTCAATAACTGAAACAAAATTAAAGTCTGAATAATAGTAATTTTACCATGCCAAACAGAAATGATGACAAAGCAAACACCAGTCTTAGTTAATCATCATTTTTATAATTGATGTAAATATGGATGCAATCAACATTACAGAAAATTGTGAGAGATGTCCTAAACTCTTAAACACAAAGTCAGTTTTCAGAAGTGTTCAAGGCTTAGTAAGACAGAGCAACAAATTTTACTTGACCCACATTCACCCAAGTGTCAAGATTTTCAGCAAATCCTGAAAATTACTTCTTTGGAGTCTTAAATTACAATGTTCTACCTATAACAAATACTAGCCCAAGGCAAAAAGTTCAGACTTGATGGATTACAGAAATATCAGCATTGGAGAAGATGAATAGGCACACAAATAGAGCCATGTCCTATAAATGGGTTACATGTGATCATGGCATTTACTTGTCCTCAGATTGTGGGATGTCTGGACTGAGTTTCAGTTATAGCAACAGATATTTACATTATCAACAATCTAAACTGATGATCACTTGACAGCCATGAAAAATATAGTTCATGACAGAATTTAGGTAACAGGCCCAATTAAGCTCGTTGCATTCACACCACAATCTTAAAGACACATAAAAACCTAATGAGGGAATATATATATATATATATATGTGTGGCTTCTAATACAATAATAAATCATTACATTTCCATTTATAACATCAAACTTACATTCAAAACTAGTTTAATGCAACACTACAGTACTATATTCACTGGGACATGGCTACTTCATTATTTTCAACATATGCATAAGATTGTTGCACCATTCAGAGTGTGTTAGAAGGACTCTGTATCAAATTAATATCCAACCACTTCAAATCCTCTCCAGGAAGAACTCCTGTAACATCAAACTGTGAATCCCCCGGATTCCCATACATTCTTCCTTTTATACCTTTGTGATTGATCTTTGATGTTCAAGTAATTTTACATAAGCAGACACTGTATACTAATAAAATAAAATTTAAGAATGACAAGGAAAATTTCATGGATATGAACACTGTGCTTGATCTGTTTTACTGAAGCTGGAATCCGAAAGTGTCCAACACTAGGTACAATAAAACACAAGTCTTCACAGTTATGCTGGAAGGCGGGCAAATATGCACACATAATTAGAGTAACACAAAATTCAACAAATAAATGACAAGTGGAACAACATCATCTATGCTGAAACAGAAATTTTATAAATTTTAGAGGCATGTTTACAGATAAATTTAATAAAATGAACAACATACAGGAACTACTGATATGATAAACCTAAAATCTGTAAAGTACCCAAAATACTGTAAATTATAAGTAATGCTATTTTCTTTCAGTGCATGAGAACAGCCCTGTAATGAATTTTATCACTGGTTTATGCTAGAGATGTGTATCATGGAATGAAATGTTTCATCAATAGTACAAATAAGCATGTTATCGACAGAACATTTCATTAGGTGGAACTAAAAAAAAAAGTGCCTGGGATAATGGTACAAAAGTTGGAGCAACAAACTGAAGTAAATCAAGTGCTAGCAGATGACCAGCATGAATGTTAAGAACCCATGGTCACACTCGTCTCGGTCTGTGATTGACTCCCTCTTCTACACACACCCTAACCCCACACAACCTGTGACAATCTGCAAAGACAACAAGAAAAAGAGAAAGGTGTTCTTCACTCACGCTTTCAACACCAATCTGACTTAGGTTTATAACAGTCTATGCTGTAAAATATGATTTCACATTCTGAGTTGTACTGTGGTACTAAATTCTCGTGTGAAAACAATAGGTAAACACAAGTCATAATATACAAACTGCCTTTATAATGAATCACTATACCTAAAAAATACCACTCAATTTTATCTGCTATTAAAAATAATTTCTCAATATCCACTAAATTTTAATTTTGAACTTTCACTGTAGTGAAATTTGTTTAAAAACTAGTATTCAAAAATAAAACGCTTATCTCATTTCTAAGCCGTACTACTATTTCTTATGGTTACAATGTAGTTAATCTGAAAAGCTACATCTATGATCAATTCATTCCAACCTGATTCAGTTGTTTAGACAAAATATCTTAAATGGCTTTACTACTGCATTTCATTTACAAGTGCATACATGTGCACACAAAACATAAGACATTTTAAGGTACAGCAAGTTTAATTTTGAAATAGTCAACTGTGTTGACCATTCAAACTGACTTCATATATGTGAAACACAAAAATTAACACTGGGAAAATAAACCAAAAAACTTGGAATGTGACACAGGACAATAATACCAGAAAAATGAACTTTACAAGATTTGCAATGCCTTACTCTGGTGCACAATATTATGACACTATTTTTGTTGAGTATAATGGGCACCATCTGGAATGCAGAGGAATAGCAGAATCAACCTTAATGGTGACATATCAACACCAAACTGTATAGTACGAAACAAATCTCCCTAATCAATTAGATGCAAAGAACCACGAAAATACAAACTTGATGACAAATAATGCTTTAGTGTTACCCAGGGCTTGGTTTTAAGAGAACAGAGATTGTTTTCATATATTAAAGCACTCACACATTTACTATGACTGAAAATGTCCAGATTCACTATATGAATCCACCATTCCCAAACCTTTGCACTTCTATGTCAAACTCAATGTCAGTGCTACACAGGCTGAATAATTCAACCAGTTTAAAATGAACCTCCAGAAACCTAAAGAAACCAGTGAAAATAACAACTCCAATGGCAGTTTGAGAGACAGCAGCTACAAAATCAACCCTAACTCTATTGGTAAAAACACTTAATTCTCAACTTGTTCAAACTAAAACAAAAGTTCACTCCTCAGCAACATTTAAATTTTCCACAAAGGTGTAATTAACTTTGCAATGAGTGAGTGCTATTCTTCTTAGTAATTACAATAAAGTAACCAACAAACCAAGCCCTATGTTGAGAAGAGGTTATAACCAACCTCCTGCTGCAGTCAAAAGCACCTATACTACCGTACTTACTCGATTAAGCACAGACGAGAAGGGAGGCAGTTCAATGTAATTTCTCAGTGACTAAAGACTTCATATCATAAATTCAAACTGCGACCTGACCCCATTTGTTTAAAAACTTTCACAAGTAGTATGTGCCTACATTTGCACACCCTTTAGTTTTACGTGGTCTGTAACAAAAACACTCTATTTTATAGGATCATCTGACATTAATTCAAACACTCTTCTACTCAACAGAACGCTGTACTAATGCAGTGCTGACATACAGAAGGAAAATCTAGTATCAGGGTCCATAACTTTGACTTCGCAAATCATTGGAAGGCTCAGAAGACCATGGCCTCAAGGCATATGAAGTTCAAACCAATGGCCAGCACCACTAATAACTCATCTCAGTGTGTTAGCCACACACACCTCCTCTCTTCTTTCTCTATGTAGTTCAGTATCAAAACAAAGTAAAATTAATGTAAACATTGCATGAAACCTCTGAATGAGATAAAAACATCCAAAAAAATTCAGAACAGTTTCTTTATATGTGTAAAAGAGGAATTCATTTATACTTAAATTACACTCAGTTGATTTCTCTCACACATCCAAATTTTGAACAAGGGGGCACACAGTAGCATAGTTGGTTGAGGGGCTATGCTACAAGATGGAAGGTCGCGGGTTAAGTTCTGATGAGGTCACTTGATATTTTTCAATTGACCTAATCCTTCCAGCCGCACTATAGTCCTGGGGTCGACTCAGCCTCTAACAGAAATAAGCACCAGGAATTAATTAAATAATTTTCCTGAGGAGTAAAGTGCAGCTGACATGTAAGACTGACAACCTTACCGCCATCTTTGAGCCGACTGTCTACATAATGTGGGACCCTCACCTCACAACCCTATAGGCCTTCACGGCCTGGTACAGAGACAGCATTACTTTTTTTTACTTTTACTCTATCCAAATTTGGAACAATGAATTTTAAGTTGTGAAATTGTTCAAAACTGCTTTACCTGGATCATGCTGAGGGCATGATGTGTCATAACAGTATTATATTCAATGCGATATTATTTTTATTTTCTTGTCAGTTCAACAGAAAATGAAACTAACAGACGGCTTCATAAAAAGACGGTTGTATATGAATTAGATTTTAAAATTATTTATAAAGCACTGAACTTTGGAGAACTGTGTTCATACTTCAACATGGAAACTATTACAGTAAGTTTCCCTGGTGAATGTTCTCTGTAAATGAAGGAAAAGCACGACAATGGTTTCGAGTAAGTACGGTAAAACAGATATCCTTGCCTCTCCCCCTTTCCCAACCCTCCCTGTGCACAACACAAAAGATGGAAGTCACATTTCTCCACTGGTAGTATACATAGTGGATCACTTGCTTTTGGCTTCACAGTAATCCTGTAACAACTCAGAAACAGAGAGAGACAATGGAGATTAGTATACCATTCTCTTTTATTGCCCCCAATTTTAATATAAAATAAATCAAAGTTAATTATGCTTATTACTATGTAACATTTACAGCTATGCACTTAATGTTATACTATTACAGTGTTCTAAAAGATGTAGATGCAAACATAAGTAAACCTACACTCAAATACAATGGGTGGTGTCTATACACACACACACAACTCCTGTGCATCTTTAACTTACCTTCCACCTTGATTTTCTTGAGTGGAGGTTCACAGTCGCCTGGTGGTGGCGGTGGTGGTGGTGGCAATGGGGGTGGTGGAGTAGACTGCAACACAGAGGAAACAATTTGGCTGGTCAATGCAGAAACAAAATGAAAATTTCTTCTGCAATGAGCAGACAAGAATAACATGTACAATTTGAAGTTTTCAAAGTGATTATGAAAATAAGTCTTCTTGGACAATCAGTTATGTCAATTTAACATTAATATCCAGTGTTTCAGAGACTGTCTTCATCTCGTTCATTAGGGATTGATGTGATGAGTGTTATGGCCACACATTGTATTTATATCCACAGGATATGTTCTCAGCTTTCCATCATATGCCACTGAGAGAATGGTGGATGAACACATACTGTGATGACTGCCCAGTTCCCTCAGCACCATACAATGGGACCACTCACAGCATATTCTGTGGGTATAAATATAAATGTGGCTGTTAGAATTTAGTTTCAGTTGTTTAGTGTCCCTTTAAAATTTGTAACTGCACTACATGTATCAGCCTACTCGGCCATCATCAGTTGTCCTGAAATTCAGTGGAAATGCTGTGCCTTCCATGCTACTGTGATTGTTTTTTTCTCTTCATATTTACAATGTTTTTTAATGAAGTCAAAGTGTAGTTCTTCTATGCCACATGTATTGTCTCTGTAATGTCTAATCATAAACTGCTTTAGTATTTTCTTTTCATGGGACACCTACAAGTTGTATATTGTTATTGCAGGAAATGTGTACTTTAGCTATGCCTGTTGCCTATCAAGTGTGCAGCGTGATGTTATGAGTGTGTTGTGGAACTGGTTATTTTATATAGGGGATTGGGGCATCTGTGCTACTAGAGGGCCTTAAATTATTAAAAAGTAAAATGAACCAAAGGAAATCTAACTTGTGACTTCTATTCTATAATAGCAACTCCAAACTGGATGATAGTACAAAGATCTTACATATATTGAGCTACCAAGACACCATCATCACAATGTGTAACAAACCTTTCACATTGTTCAGCTACCCGAATATATGTATATAAATATTCCTCAATTTATAAGACATTTTTGTTTAAAAGTTGCAGAGAGTGAAACTTCCCACCGTGGTGGCCCGGGTTCAATCCCGGGTCTGGTCAAGTGGGATCTGTGGTGGACAAAGTGGCGTTGGGGCAGGTTTTCTCCAAGTACTTTGGTTTCCCCTGCCAATTTTCATTCCACCAACTGCTCCACAATCACCCTCACCTATCATCTGGGGCTGGCACAATAGGCCAGAAGTGGCCGCAGTACAAGGGACTTAGTCCCTCCCCACTACCAATAAAAAAAATATACGAGGAGATGGCTGAAGAAAGTAATTGGAGTGGTACAGAAGCAAACTAAATTGATTGAAAAAAAATCAGCAATATTGAGTTCTGCATTTATGTTGATAATGAAAATTCACTAAGGTATTTCAGTCTGGTACAATAGGCCAGAAATGGCCGCAGTGCAAGGGACTTAGTGCCACCCCACTAGCAAGGTATTTCATTGCTCTGCTGACAGCAGCTTCTTTGAAAGAAACCATCCACCTTCGTTTGCTTCCCAGCACATGATTTCTCAAGTGGGAAAAGGTGTGGAGATGAGGTTATGCCAAATTTCCCCTTCACCTCCTGCACTTTTCCTGTCACCCACATAATATTTCACTCCCCTTTCCCCAGCACTCTCAATTGGTTGGCAAACAGTTGAAAGTTGACACAATTCTCAGTTAAGCAAAGACTATTAATTAACACTCATCTGAAATAATTGACTGCATTAATATAAAATGGCATTTTTCAAAGTTGCATATAACAAAGAATACCTGTATCGTGATTGTGACACCACCATAGCTCTAAAGCAGTGTTTCTCATTCACCAGGCCATGGCAACAATTACACAGGCCCTATTCTTATATATATATATATATATATATATATATATATAAAAGAATTTACCAGGCCGCAGTCTGACAAAGGTTTGGAACCACTGCTCTTAAGCATCAATATGTACTTTATCACAGTTCTAGAACCAAAATCTATCATATGACAGAGGCAAATGCTATCAGAGAGTTCCAATACTGTTACTGTTGCAACTGTCTCATTGAGAGATGAGAGGGGAGACCATGGTCACACTTCCGCAAGCCTATTGCATGGGTCTGCCACGTGACACCGCACTGTGAACACCCACTGTTTTTACACAAGTGCTTTCTCAATTTCGTGTTTCGTCTTCGATGGATGGCAAAATCGAGCAACGTGTCTGCATCAAGTTTTGTGCGAAGCTTGGTAAATCCTCTACTGAAACCGCTGAAATGTTTTGTGAGGCTTCTGGAGAACATTCTTTAGGCTGGGCAGTGGTTTTTGAATAGCATTCATGTTTCATGGCTGGTCAAGTGTCGGCTGAAGATGACAAACAATGAGGGTGACCAAGAACCAGCATGACAGAAAATGTTAAAAAAATTCTAGAACTCATCCATAAAGACCGTTTCCAAACAATCCATGATCTCACAGACACTGTTGGGACCAATCATGGAATTTGCCAGGAGACCTTAAAGGATAATTTGAATATGTGCCACATTGCTCCATCATAAAAACACGCCAGCCCACACATCCCTGAAAACCAGAGTTTGTGACTAACAACAAAATGGGTTTCAAACCCCAACCTCCTTACTTGCTGGACTTGGCCCCCTATGATTTCACTTTGTTTCCCAAATTTAATATGAAATTGAAGGGACATTTTGAAACAACGTCTGACATCCAAAGCGAGTCGCAAGTGGTACTCGACACCATCAGGGAAAATGACTTCCATGGTGCTTTCGAAGCATGGAGAAACAATGGTTAAACCAGCATTTACTTTTTGACCTAGTCCGGAAACTTACACCTGGTACAACTTAACTATAATTTTACTTATATTATGCTAGAACTATTATTGGTAAAGGATTGTTAAGTAACCTAATGTGGCAATTAAAAATAATTGCCACATTAGGTTATGTACGTATTTAAACATATTATGGTCATATTAATAAATAAATGTCCATATTAAATAAGGTCATAAGAATTTATATCATAGTGCAAATTTCATTCTGCTTTATATGTGGTTTATATTTCATTTACTCTTGAATGCAATAAAGAAAACTTTTCAAGATCTGTATACGCATATCCATTTCTAGATATTCTTTATTTTTTGTTAACACCATTGTAATGAACATGCTCGTTTAGCAGTATGTCTATATCCGGTGACCATAAATTTCATTTTATTCATGTCCTATAAATTCATCATAATCTCTCCGCTCTGGAATTCTTACCGTGGTGTACAATCTCACTTAGACAAACGGGTTTGCAGCACATTCAAATGCGTATTTCGGGGCTGAATACTACCTGGAAGTTCTAACATTTTAAAGTACGCATTATGGACTTTACACTGTTACTGTACAACAGAATAAACGTTTCCGATCTCTCGGCACTATTTACATTCAAGAGGAAAGTCCAAAAAAATGGCATTCTACAATTGTGGTAACACATTCGTCCATCTTGGAAAAGTTCATGACGCCGTTTAGCTCCACAATGAACATCACATAAGAATTATAATCTAAAACCTTTATATGTACTTACCATGTTCAATGTACCATTCATTGCACCAAAATTTGTTGTTGCAGCCATTCCCCAACGGAGTTAAAAGACTACAAGCTTAATAAACTATATATTTCCAACGATCCATGTCGTCGATTTATTTCTACAACCGCCATAACACTATCTACCTGGCATCCGCATCGACTTCCTCTAGCGTGGGGTAACTTCACAGCCTTCTAAAAATGGGTGTACCTTCGGATGTCCTACACGACGAGCGCAATGATCATTGAGTGCTTTCTACAAGCTTCATGCTGGTCGTCCTAGTTAAAAATAATATACTCATTATGTATAAAACACAAAACAAATACGCCGTTGAATTGTGTGCTTATGTTTCTGACCTTTACGCTATTATATGCTAATCAACTTCATTCAAATTCCAGGCCATTCAGCAAAATTATGAAAGTTTATTTATCTGAAAGATAAAATAGCACATTGAACGCACTTCGTCGCTGTCGGAAAATAACCAAAATCTCAAAGGCGCAGGATAGGTGAAAGGGTGAATATCGTGAGATAGAAAATCAATGAGCAAAATCTAATCTCTGTCACAAATGTCGACAAATCAACCTTATTATAGAATTAAGTTCTTTTAACCGCTTGGCAAAAACTACATTTATAACTGTATTTCATTAGGGAAATAAAGTACGCTATATCACCCAGGCATTAAGAGAGGTCCAGAACCATGGATGCTTTGGGACTGTAAATAGAAAACTGAGGTGACCACACATGAATAGTTTTTACGTTATATTATTTCAACTTCAGTTGCTACACAGAGCCAAATAATGTGATAGAACTATGCTCATGAACATAATTATTTTAATGTTCAACTTAAAAGCCAGATTTTACACTGTTTCCACAGTTAGTAAAATCTATACGGTAAAGTAAATAATTCTGTAATACGCTATATATAATACATATGTGGGAGCCGGGATAGCGCAATCGGAATAACGAGCGGCTACCAGTTTGACAGCCGAGGGGTCGGATTTCGAATCCCGGTAGGGGCAAGATCTTACTCCACGTAGTCCAGTCTGGTTCTTGGGCCCACCCAGCCTCCTATCCAAATGGTACTGAGGCTCCTTCCCTGGGGGTAAAGCGGCCGGAGTGTGAAGCTGAGTCACCTCCAACTACTGCCGAGGTCGCGAATACATGAATCTATACATCCACCCCGTCACACATCTTCATGGCGTAGTGCTTAATTGGTTAGGAACGGGGACAACTTCACCTTTTACACACACACACACACACACACACACACACACACACACACACACACAGAGCCCATGTCGCTAAACATTAGAGGACTGACGGTTATATCCATAAGCTTAATGTTTACTTCTGACCTCTGTTATCATTGTTATGCTCTTAAGACCATCACGGTGGAATTTTGACTTAGCAGCACCGGGAAGACACTGTAGAAAGAAGTGCAGTAACTTAGTGTAGCCATCACAGCATTGATCACCAACTCCAATATTACTGAGTTCTACATGGGGACATCTAGTGTAACCAGAACTACAGTGTGGACAGTATAGGATGCTGACTCAGCAGTGACTATACGATAAATATCTAGGGGTCGGCAGACACAGGTATACTGACAAAAATTTTAGAGCAGTTGACAGCCCTCCGACATTTGGTTAATACGTCGACAGTAGGCCAGCTCAGCCGATAACCATGGACCTTCGAGAACTTCTCTTCTCTACAGTCGCCCTCATTACCATCCAAAGTATTATTATTAGTGGTAGTGGTGGTGGTGTGAGATTGAGTCCACTTGGTACTGCGGCCACTACCGGCCTAACCATCCAAAGTAAGTTGAACGGTGGCTTGTGTAGCTAAACTAAGGAAATGGAATGTAGTGTCAAGACTACAGACCCGCTGCAGCTAGAATAATGTAGTGACCGTTCGGCAACCATGCAACAGTATGTACCTAATGAAAATTATAATGTATTTAACTATCTCCTTTTTTGTAATCAATATTATGCATTGCTCGCTTCCAAAGGAAATTCCCCGTAGGTACGGGAGGGTGGTGGTAGCTACCGAAACTTTATAAAATAACGTCCATCCCTCTACCCCTCCAACCTGGGCGTTAACGATCATATTACTTATACTTGCTCGAAGCCTTTTTGAGCTTGTATCAAAGGCCATTTGGTGAAAGGTCCAACATATTCATTACTAAGATAAAGTGCGAAAGATATTTCCAAGTTCCTCACAATAACACATCTGTGTATATGAAAATAAATGATTAGGTAACTGGCTGTAAGTGTTGTTATTTGTATCCGACGTATTTAACAGAGATTATAATTATTTCAAGCCTCCCTTCCCGCAAGAATTTTCTCATTTATCATTCGTTACATTCTCTTAGCAGTTAACTATGAAGTCACAAAGTAACTGAATAAACTACTGACGGTTAAGATACAAGTCGTGTTATCAAATATTTATGCAACTGGTTTGATGGGACAATGGTTTTGGAATCTCTTGACTAAATCATGTAGAAACAGATAACAGATTGGAGACCAAGAGAAACTAACGGAACAGTTAATATTTTAGTAGTTCTTTACAAAGAAGGAAAAGGACACTTCGTGTGGAGGCATATCTGTTGATCCGTCTGTGTCCTATTGTCAGAGCACTGCTCATTGAACGTAATTTTCTTAGCTCGCTGTAGGAAGCTTTTAGTACAACACTCAGAATTACTGGGGTTTGAACATTGTCCATTGTCCGGTATTCTAAAGGGTAGAGAACTCAAAGTTTCGTAAACCGGACCTATTTCCGTCTTCAGATTAGTGGGAGACACCTACTCTGTTGGGTTCCTTAGAAAGAACTAACCTGAACCACTGGAGAACTCCATGTCGGGTCTTATGTCACGGCCAGTCTCTCTTGGAATAAATACCCATCTGAGCCATATGACCAGACACTTATTAGTATTACTGTTGAACGGTTACAGCTTTGTTGATGTGGGGCACTCTCTATGACGAGAGGACAGGTCGGTCGTTTACAATTGCTGCTGGCCCAACTCAGCATAGTCATTCTCGGGTCCGAGTACCATGGAACTCATGACCATATTTTACTATCCCAGATTCGAGACTTCCCTTTTCGTCGACTTCTACGACTCACAGAGTTACGGTGAAAGCACCCTTTCTACAGGTCTTATGGGCTGTTCCTTCCAACGAAGCCATCCTCTACAGCCAGATGTACTGGTGGATGAAGAAGGATGATATTGTCCTTGACCGGAAAATGGAATTGCTCATAACAAAGATTCCAACTGAAAACAAGTGTGTGCTGCCACCTTCTGTCCTACCTTCAGAGGTGGCTGGATACAGATAGCGTTGAGAGTGCAAGTCATTATACTTTCATTTCTTATGACCATCTCTTACAGTCTTTTTATGCATTAAAATCCATGAAGACTGTTAAACAGTCCAATTTGCCACCTGTACATGTGGTCAGGTATCAGTTATATAGCCATAAGAATGCCCCGTGTCTAAGATTTTCCTCCGAACAACAATACAATAATAAATACTAACGACACCACCACCACCACCACCACCACAACCACAACCACCACCACAACCACCACCTTTCTTGAACACAGGCACGACGGCCGCTTGCTTCAACAGAGTGAGAATCTTCCCTTGTAACGAACCAATATTAAAAATGTGACTGAAACCAATTTTTGATTTCGGTGACAACATGGTCATTCTTTTTTAAAATTAGAGATATATTTCCAAAGTCTTTAGGTTTAGTTTTCAGATTATCATTGATAGATTTTAACCAAAGAAACCTGTCTACTTTAATGTTGGTTTTAAGCTGTTTGGGATAATAAGAATAACATTATACTCGTACTTGTGATCATACTCTGATTTCTTGTACCTCCTGAAGTGTTGATTTTTCTTCTTAATATAATATTTTAAAGAATTAGAAAACCAATGTGGAAGGGTAGAATTGATGTATTTTATATAAGGAGTGGCTAAATTTATAGCTCCACGCACTGTGGCAGTGAGATTTTTTAACATTCGCTGCAGAGTCGACGGGATTTTCATTAAGAACACAAGACCAGTCAAAATGATGGAAGACATTATAGAGCAACAGGTAATCACCTTGAGCATAGCTGCGGTGACTGCCCAGGGCTATATGATAAGAGTTAACAATTAAATTGAAATCAAGAAGAAGCGGTGGATGGTACTGAACAGGAGTGGCCACGGGACAGCTTGAAATTGAAGCTCTTATGTGGTTAATAACTGAGAACACTAGATGGAGCAGTGCACTACTTATGATAGAGTTACATCGTTGATCAAGATGGAGAGAGAATGTGGACTTGTGATTTAAATTTCCTTTAATTTCATTGTAGCAATTCTGTATTTCAGCATTCTGTTGCACATCTTTAATTTAACGTCTGTGTATAACAGTTCGTCAATAATGCAACAATTATTAAAACATTCACCATTTAAAACTTAACACAATATGTTTCGGCCATAGATGGCCATCTTCAGTGTTTCAATGCGTCCAAACTGCTACACTGCCTTGATGCGCGCGTTGCGCAATAATTGTTGCATTATTGACGGACTGAGATACATTGACGTTTAATTCATTGCAGTAGTTAAGAACTGGAAACTGGCGTGCCATTGATCCAGTTATAGTTAGGCACAATAAAATCGCCTAACATGATTACTCGATGTTGTTGTGCATTTAAAATTTGTTCCTATTCCGTGTCATAGCTAAGGCGGCTAGACGCCGAATTCCAACCGCGGCGGTCCGGGTTCGAGTCCAGGTCAATTTATGTGGGGTTTATGGTGGACGAAGTCGCACTGGGGCAAGTTTTCTCCGAGTACTTCGATTTCCCCTGCCAATTTTCATTCCACCCACTGCTCCACACTCATCATCCATCATCCGGGGCTGGTACACCAGGCAAATTAGTAGCCCACGTAACAAGTGGACTCAGTCTCACCCAACCCCACGCCCCCCAAATATTGTTTCAGGAATCTTAAGTACTCGTAACTGTCAATAATTGTGATATTACAATCAGACGAAAGTACCAATTTCCTACTAATAGACTGAAATTGTCACTGACAAGTATTTCAATCCACACACATTCTTATATTCTTTAGCAATTTCAGGACCATGTCTCCGCATTACAACTTGTAATAAATTTGAAACTGCAATTAGTACTTCATCGCCTCGAGTTGTGTGGAAATTTAAATAGTTTCAGTCAGCGCAGAATACTGAATAAGTGGCAGGGAAAAGTTGACTAAAGATCGTTATCATTTAGCCAGTTTTCAGTAAGACAGTAAATTTTTATGATTAGAAGCGTAAACATTGTCCGCGAACCCACTAATGTCCCTTAACATTTTGACAAAAATATCGAAATCGCTGGGGTTCAAAACCATTACTGGGTGGGATGAGGGCTACTTCCGAGCTCCCGATTAGGATTGTGTCTGCAGTTATAGATGTACTTGAGGAGTACATCTGATCAGGGGTGAGTTAACTTTAAACAGGAGAAATTAGACATCTCATAGGCGAAACACCAGTGTTGTTAATGAGTGGAAACTCATCTATAATTATTAATATTTTCAAGTCTGGTACAGACCTTTTCTTTTTCCTTTCTTAGTTTCTCCTTCAAAGACTCTCAATATCGTTAGTACGAAACGGTCCTTCAAACTTTTCATTCTTTAAAATAATTGGTAAGGAAGCAGAGTTCCGTAAACCAATGAGGGGCTGACGATGATGTTTAAAAGTGATTACTGCAAGGACACTAGTGGTTGTCGTCTTTCTGTAGGTGTCAGTTTTGAAACCATCCTTCGATGATAGAAACCTTGGGTGAAAAAGAAAAACAGCTGACGCGACGTCCAAGGTAATTCCACGACCAGCAAATTCTTTCGAAGATGAAGCAGTATGAGCAGATCCAGAAATTTCGACTGTCCCATGAATTCTGGCTGGATTCCGACGTGAGGCTGCTTTAAATGGTTTACCAATTTCCTTGTCTGCCTATAGACCGAATATGGGAGACAATGATCCACAAGGCTGACCAACTTTTTCATATAATTTATTAACTTGTTATTAAAGCGAGGCGTTGTCGCTTTTAGCCGGTCACAGTAGCCGCGGGGTCTAAGGCATGAATTGTCTTCGCTCGCTTGGACGCTGGGATCGTGGGTTCGAATCCCACTTCTGGCACGGATGTTTGGTGTGTGTATGCGTTTATTCTGTTTGTGTTGTCCTGTGTTTAGGTAGACGCCTTGCGACGAGCTGATTACTCGCCCAAGAAATCCTACCATCTGTGAAAAATGATTACGGAACTGAATAAGAAGCCAGGGCCCTGAATGGGCTGGAAGAGCCATTGAAAAAAATTGTCACTTTCAAGAACGGCGACACCGTCACTGAGTTTATGAACAGTGTCCATAAGAGTTCTCCGAGATCGTCTCCGCAGACCCCATTGCGACATAATCTCCAGCTGGATGCCAAACGCCTTATATTTGCGCTATCAAAAACTGGAGGCAAAAGTAATGCCCTCTCAGATTAAACGTTTTTCTTAGGAAGATCTGACATCGAAGAGGCTTTCACAAGAATTGTCGTCCTTCCTTCGGGACCGCAAAGTATAAATGCAGGCAGCAAACATGTAAGGGTAGGCCTCAGAATCCGTACAGTAGGCATATTCTGTCTCACTAAACTGGAGGCAGCTCAGATGAAAGCGGGAGTCTCAAGGCCCACACCAGCTATAAAAATTTTGTTTTCTGTAAAACGCCTTTGTGCACAATAAGCAAACATCCTTGCCTGAGGTCATCGCAGGCGGCGAACTAAAAAACAGCAACGCCAGGCTAAAACATCGTCAGCAGAGCAGAGGCGGAGCGCAGCACAAACGCGTCCGCACATCATGAGAGCTAACTGGATGATGACGACGACGACAATGACAACAACGACAACGACAACAACAACGACAACGACGACGACAACAACAAATATTTTAATGTCTGTTATTAGGTTTGTTATTTAATGATGCTGTCTCTATCGAGGTGATAGAGAGTCAATTATAGGATAATTATGAATGTGGAACAGTTCGTGGAATACAAATTGGCAGGGGAAACCGAAGCACCACTTTATCCACCATATTGTCCACATTATCTGACCTGTACATCCAAAGCGAAAAACGGGTAATTTTCCTTGTTTCGGATATGTCAATTTTAACAAGCATATAGCAACGCCATTTCTGCTGCTGTTTATATGGAATTAAACTGAATTAGCTAGCGAACAATGTTCGTATACTTAACCTCGAGAGATTTGTGAATTTAAATTCGTGGTTGCATTCAATCCGGATTTTAACAGTAACCAACTGTTAGGATATGATTTTCTCACGTTGGTGGTATGCAATACGTAGTTTGAGTTTCTGTCTCTTCTTTCTGTGCATTCTTTGCACAAAGACCACAGACGAAGGCATAATGGGGTGGGGGGGGTACTCTATGTTATTCTGAATATTCCACCACTATAACTACTAATCAAATTTAGATTAAACATATCCTGCCTGTTGCATATCGATTTCCTCATGAATGCACTTTTCAGTCTGGTTTCATACATTTATTTATACAAATCTAAATCAACCGATTTTCTTGGTTAAGATAAATTCTGACATGAATGGCGGGTAATTAAGAACTTAGAAGGAGGTCATCGTGGCCTGATTCAGGTCACTGAACCAGCACACACTTGAAGAAATTAATGACAACCACAGAAAACCTCAATCAGTAGAGTCTGCAGCCCACCTTAATTAGAAGCTGATACTTGCTTGTTTCTTCACTAAGTTAAACAAGATTTGAGTTCACGATCCGATATATCCATAAATAAAATTAAAAACTTACGGCCACAGGCAGATCGGTTGTTGAATTCTAATAACTGAGGTAAGAAATTAATCACAATACAAGGATATTTTGACAGAAATTGTAATAAATTTAAAGTAAAAGTTTGACTCACATACATACACACATGCATACATAATTTAAACATTCATATACAACGATTTATATGTATAAGTGTAACAGTCTAAAGAATATTTAGAAATTTGTTCTTTGTCAAGTGGGGACTACACAGCAACGAGTGATGAATATAATTTATATCATTGTACGTTCTCAGTTATCAGCAGTATCAACAGATACAGTTCATCCATCGAAGAGACTTCTCCGTATATATCACTTTAAATTAACACCTTGGTTAAACAAAATGAAAGTTCTGGCATTAATAGTCGCCGATTTTGGGTTCACTGTTTGTAGACCATTGAGCAACGAAAGGAGCCAGTCCTGTAGCTTCTCATCATTAAGTGTTACACTCTTTGAACACTCCTTGCTAATTTGGACGGCTCAGTAGCTCTCTCAAGACCACGATGGCGGCGGATTACCGCGAACAGGTGTACGTCAGAAAGCAGAGTCGAAGACGGCCATTGATTGAGAGATGTCTTCATCCCTTGTGCAACAATCCAGGAACTCCTCCAGTGTGACAACACCGTCTCTGTTTTGATCCATCTTCTGTAACAGATGCAACAGTACTCTGTGAATAGTTCCACTGTATGATTACACTTACCTAAACAGTAAAGGAAAGGGGTGATCACATTACAATTAGGAATAGGCACATTATCTTTGCAATTTTGCTTTTTCTTTGGCAGTTAGGGTATTTTACTTCCGACAAAAATACGCTGTTTTAAAGATAATCACACTGCACGACTGAGAACACATGGCGTTATTTTCGATTTGTGCTTCATAAACTGCATAAGTTGTACCTCTTTTGGCTTATTTTGGACTTCACCCATCGTCTGGTATGTAAAAGACAAAAGACCACGACGTTTCGGAGACTGGATCTGTCTCCGAAACGTCGTGGTTTTTTGTCTTTTACATACTAGACGATGGGTGAAGTCCAAAATAAGCCAAAAGAAGTACAGTATACACCATCGTCGAATCCTTTCAAGTCTATCTGCATAAGTTGTATTGGTCAAGTACAAGCTACACTTTCAGCAGAAGCTTCGAATAATAGAGTTTACTGAAAACCAATCAATAGTTTCTGCTGGATGGAATAAAATGCCTATCTTAAATGACTTTCATTTATATATTTGTGGGAAGGAAGCGTACATAGTTAAGAAATATTTTTTATCAACTAAACTCAAAAGCTTACCAATTATGGTCTGGTACTTCTGCATTTTATTAACTCATACTATAATGGCCACGCCATAGTTCAAGCGGTTAGTCGCTGGCTTCCCACCGCGGCGGCCCGGGTTCGATTCCGGGTCTGGTCAAGTAGGGTTTGTGGTGGACAAAGTGGCGCTAGGGACGCGTTTTCTCCGAGTACTTCGGTTTCACCTGCCAATGTTCATTCCACCAATTGCTCCATCATCATAATCACCCGGGGCAGGTATAATAGGCCAATCAGTGGCCGCCGTGCCGAGCGGACCCAGCTGGACTTCACCTCCCACTAAGCGAAACTCATACTACAGCCCCCTGGTGAGTACGGACACTGGTTTATATGGCTACTTGAGTAGTTTGGCGAGTAAGTTACCGACACGCTGCAGTAGCTTAGCGAGTAAATTTTCTGATTTACACTGCAACAGTTTAGGAGGTAAAATTATTGACTTGTACTGCAATAAATTAGCGAGAAACGTTACTGCCTTATACTGCAGTAGATTAACGAGCAGAATTACTGATTTGTAATGCAGAAACATAGCGAGTAAAATTATTGACTTAGGGAGTAAAATTTCCCAACTGCCTTAGATGTAAATTATTATATTCTATGTAAGATTTGAGGCTTTCACGGCGGTAACTATGAAGAAAGCAGTCTTCTGGGATTTGGCACCGTGTATATGTGGTGTTAACCGACGTTTCGGAGGAAAGTATCACCTCCATCTTCAGGGTAGAAGGAAAAATATAAGAAATCCGCAAGCGAAGAGACCGTGAGAACCGGTCTTTACTGTCTTTACTGCGCTGCTTGATGGCGGATTCCAACGCCAGACGTCCCCCTTCCTCTGACTTCCCGAATTATCCCCGGCCTCATCTACCAGCTTCTCACTTCTACAAGTTTCGACTGACTGTCTGCTTGCAGACCCTCTCTCGACTCACTCTCTACTCCAACGGACTACCATTGACAGCTGACCCTCGTTATATAGCTCCAGCACGGACCGCACAGAGAACAATGCTTCCAGTAGTTACTCCATTGTCGCATGGGCACGTTGCCTACCGATGGCTCTGGTATTGTTGCGTGATTATGAAGTAGTTTCATAGCAATGGGTGTGTTTGCGGAACCATTCCCTAGCAACGGCTGTCTCTGCTGGCTTCACAATTCTGGCTGTCAGCAAGCACGCCACAACATCTTTATCTTCGCAATGTATTGCATGTATGCTTAGGTTTTTGCGCAGCCGTCAAAACTCCTTTACTAATATGGCCTACACCTTTACATTTTGGGCATAAAATTGCGTTATTGATGCAACGTGCAGAATGAGTTTCATATTTACTCTCTCTACACGTTTCTTTAATTAATGAGGCTGCACTTGTAGGTTGTTCTGAAATAGTAACGATGTTATTGCCGAAACATGCTTCAGTTATGTTACTATTATTATAACGATATCTCTAACCCTCACTTTTTCGTTGAAATTGTTTCATTCTGAGCCTTATTTATAATTTTATATTAAAGAGTGTGTTTCTTTGGAATCAGATATAACAAATATGATTTAGGTGTTAAAATTTTCAATTTCCGACTGATTTGAATTGGCCGTTCTCTAACCAATTTATATTTCTTTCTAACATATTCACTATTTCTGTCTGGGAATGTAGCTGTTGCTAATGACGTCAGAAAACCTCCAGGCCTTCTTCTGCCAATTTCTCTTGTTTACAGGTATATTGTAAGAAATTAAGCACTCATGAGGCCACGGGATGGTCACCTGAAAGATGCGGTCCACCTTGTCTCTCACTGTGCTCTCATCAACACACGGTTCCGTGAACTTGCCCATAAGCTCGTATATGGCCGTGACGATGTCTGTCATCTCTTCGCGAGTGATACAGCCATCACCGTTGATATCGTATAGTGAGAAGGTCCAGCGCAACTTCTCATCCAGAGATCCTCGAGACAAAATGGACAGTCCCTGCACGAAGTCCTGAAACACACACCCACCAAGAATGATAAACGGACAGCAACTGAAGGGATTTTATAAATCCCCTGATCTAGTGTGGGATATTAAAAGGAGCAAGTCTGAATGGCTGGAAAGTGTGATTAGAATTAAGCAAACAAGAGTGGCTAAGAACATTTTTGAAAGCCAGAAGATGGGGCACAAAAGGGAAGGCTCAGCAGGTTGAGATGATTTAGCAGTATCACAGGGAAGGCATCTAATTTTTACATAGTATGAATGATAAGGATATATAGTAACCAAAGTTAAACAGAGAAGATTGTTGAAACAAAGGAATTTAACTTATTTAAGATACATAACAAAATGCGTACCTTTCCTGTTATGTTCCGTCTGATTTCCAGAATGCCATAACTATTGTAGAAATGAAGAATTTATAATTTCCATCAAGTATATACAAAGAGTGTTTATGCAATTGAAAGTACTAAATTATAATACACCTGTTTGTACTTTTAACCTGCAGAAAAAAATTGCACAAAATCACGATTAAGCCGTTTGAAAGATTTTCCCGTTGAAATCAGTGCAGTGACACGATCTCAGACGGGTAGCAGTCTGATACACAGCCTCTCTTTTCGTGATGTTGTCTTTTCCCCACTAACAGTTAATTCATTGGGTATGTATGACTGTATGACACTCCTATTTATTTCATTTTGTCTAGTTTTGCTCTCATTGTTAAGTAGATTGTTGTGTAGACGGCTACTGTAAGATATATTCCGTGGATGGAAGATGACAGGAAACTTCCAAGTTTAAAATAAGTAAGATTACAACACTTATGATAAGAAGAAAAATATACATTAGCTGTACGACTCCAAGGCTTGTACCAGCAAAGAAAAAGATCAATGAGGCAGATCTAGTTGAAATCGCAGACAGTTTGTTGCGAAATTATTCACAGTCTTGAGTAAAAATTCAAATCTCGCCTATTCAAAGGCGAGATTTGAGGCAGTGTCTATGAAGATCACTGACTTGTGGGTTGTGACACTGTGTAGCATGTATATGTTTAGCTCTTATATCTTAAAGATGACTGCATTCATAAGAAACGTTGATAAGTATCTAGCACATTACAATGCGTCACATCCAAGAAGACACTAATTTTGCAAAGTAGGAATTTACATTATACCATATTATCTTAATTACGAAGTTCGAACCTAGCAACTTCCACAAAGTTTTACTTTATTATCTCCTTAAAAATTGCCTTAATTTTATCAGTTCTGGAGGAGTAAAACCCGTGCGCACTCCGCAGGGAAGATCAGAAGTTCCCTCAACCAGTTACGCACAAAGTTGAATTCCATTGAAATTTCCTCCCTCTTCTTCTAAGGTCTTCGTTGTGCAGTAAAATGAACTGGACAAAATGCGGAAGGAAACTGTCGTGAGTTAATTTGAGGCACTGTTTGGGAATTAATGTAGAAGGGCTGAGGAAAGCTACGGTAAATCTCAGTTAGAAGAGTGTCCTCGCAGAGATTCCAACCAGGCACCTCCGACAGAGAAGTCAGAAGCGGTACAGCTTGAAATAAATTGCTGTGTTTTCACTTATATTCCATTACGTATTCACCATATGGAAAATGTCTGAAACTAAAGCCATAAGTCTTAATAGAGACTATAGAGTAAATATACCCAATTCCGTCACACAACCCACTAAATTCCCCACGAAATTACGAAAATTAGGCGTCTGATCCACGGTTAGCTATAACAGTTCTATACAGATACATCCGTAATGGAGGACTGTAAAACTAACTATGTCACATATACCTCATTTTCACGGCGAATTTAATGCCGCACTATAAAATAACATACGTAAAAAAATTGGGTAAATTTATCTTATTTTATATACTTATGTATTTACAAGTTTTATGTACAATTATCTGTTTATGAGAGAACCAATTCAGTTAGATTTGGGCGTCATGTAAAGTGCGAGGAGAATTTAGCAATCCAGGGGGTGTCACTCCTGCAGTGCTTTTAAGAATTCTGGGTTCAAATCTCGGCCTGGAAACTGATGATGTTCGTCCCGCCAAGGAAATACCAGGATAATACTTCCAATTAGACCTCGACCGTTTCCTTCCACATAATTTATAATTCATTATTCACTAATCACTGTTCGGAGCCGGGACAGCGCAGTCGGTATAGCGGCTGGCTAGGGGCTGGACGACCGAGAGGGTCGGATTTCAAGTCCCGGTAGGGTCAAGAATTTTCTCTTCTCCACGTCGTCCAGGACGGTTCTGGGGCCCATCCAGCCTCCTTTCCAATGGGTAACTGGGGCCTTTGCCCCGTTGGTAAAGCTGCCGGAGCGTGAAGCTCAACATTCGCCTCCAACTAATGTCGAGGTCAAGAAAACGTTGATCTATACAAATACTCCCCACAACGCCTTCATGGCGTAGTGCTTAATTAGTTAAGCACAGGAATAATTTTACCTTTTTTCATTAGTCACTGATCATCCCATTATTCGACACAATACATGCCTAGTCTGAGCTACGGGCAGCGTCGTTAGACAAACACATTCTTGTCAAGAAGATTTTTGATAGATGTAAACAAAACTTTAATTTTCTCAAGAATACTTTTAGTGTAAAAAAGACAATATCAAATATTTTCGAATCCAGTCGGTATTATAGGAGATATGTGGGGCGGACAGACAGACGGAAACTATCTCCCCACTATGAACTAACTTTATATGTTATACGAAAAAATAACGCACAACACCGATCGTCATCTGTATTTTCGCTTTAACACACTGGTGTATGATTTTTGTTCTTTGAACTTTCGCACCAGAATCACTATTTTAGAAAACAATACAATTATTTCCAATTCTTGCAGGGAACAAGAGGCCTACAGTAAAACACGACTTTTACCTAGTCTAAAGCTGAGTCTACTTTCTTTATTATTGAGTGAGATCCATGAGATATTTTTTTTTTCGCGTCTTAAAGTGGGAAATCTTGTAAATAGACGTGCGTTATTTCACTCTTGCATCATTATACAAGTACAGCAGTTCAGAGACCCAGTTATCTAGCGTTTGAAATTCCAGACGGCTTCTTCCAGAGAATACGTATGTGTAAACACAATAAAGCGATCTACAGCCATGCAGAAGTTTCCATGTTCCATTTCTTGAAGTAGGCACTGCATCGGAGAATTTGTCGGTCAGTAGAAGCAATTCGATTACAGATCGGGCGATGCCCGCAGCCATCCGCATACTGCATTTCTCATAACTGGCCAATATGGATCGATTTTACACAAACAACGAAGACTCTCAGTCGAGTTCAAGATCGCGAATCATAAACCTACACGAAAGCTCCGTGGCACTGGTATTAAGTAAAATAAACAGGCAGCAAGCGAGACAATAACGAATACAACATGCCAGCGTCATATCGCGTTACAGTAGCCCGTGTGGAGGCGGGTTCGAATATCTCCACTCTGTTCCTAGGGATATAAATACGGGGACCTAGCCCTCCAGGTTGGGGGAGTCTCGAAACTGGAAAATGATTGTGCTGGCCCTCAGCAAGAGGACGCCACACATAAACAAACCCACAACTGTCTGACAGTAACAAGAATTTCGTCTTGAACCCCAGATGAGGCTTGGCACCGAGATAGACTGGTCGACTGACCGTCGGTCGTAACGTAACTTAGATTTTGGCCTGACGCGTTACGGTTTTACAACGTCTGCAGTGAATAGTCCATAAATAGTAGAGAACACGTTGCCTTCGTGTAATTTCATAATAACCATGGTAACGAAATGGTATTGTTTATTAAACGATTATCTTCACTAGAGTGGCAATCTGAACTCGTTCTAATCTAGATGTGTAACTGTACCAACAAACATAAATATACAGAGTGTCCCAGGAGGAATGTGCAAAACTTCGAGAGGGTGTTCCTTATGTTAAAGTATGCCGATATAACCCAAAACACCTATGTCCAAAGTTGAACGGTTACGGAGATAATGGCCAGAGAAGTGTGAAACTTTGACAGGTGGTACACACTTGTTGATTACAAAATACATATTAAAACTGGCAGGAATGTGGTTTCTGTAATGTTAATAATGTACGTAACATCAAACTAACTTGTGAGTGACATGAAGCCATTAAATTGAACTACAAAAAACTCGCACGCCATGTCAAAGTTGTCGTTAAGAGTTCCAAGCACTATACATGACACATGAATGGCAAGCGCTGACGTAACATTGCTGACTGCGCGTTCTGGTATGCGAGTGTATGGGGCTAACGTGAGCTGCCATCACCACACTCAAGGACAAACGTAGATAAGACATGCCAGCTGACAGGTACAGTGCGTGGACTCGCCAGAAGACCACACTTTTCTTGGGCCATTATCTCCGTAACCGTTCAACTTTGGGCATAGGTGTTTTGAGTTATATCGGCATACTATAACATAAGGAATACCCTCCCGAAGTTTGGCACATTCCTCCTGGGACACCCTGTATACATATTTATATCATAATATTTGAATTAAGTGTGAAAGATCACCAAAATGACAAAGATATCTCTCAGGCCAAGAACAGGTATAATTTAATGCATCCACTTCATGAGGGCCTGCACCCTCCCAAAATAAAACCGATGTACTGAATATCACAAAAATAAGGTGTATGTATCCAACAGGCTCAGAGTTGATACACATGAATAACCGTCATGAGTTACAAATATTGTTCCTCATTTGCAGCACAGTTTTCCTGCACAGACATATATCATACGTACCTCAAAAACAATGTTGGAGATTTTGTACGGATGACTGGCATTTCAACCGTAATTTCTTATGTAAAGCATAAGCGTGGAAGGATGAACTTCAGTGTAACACACAGATGTGTTTATTGCCGCTTGCTCATACATTATTTCAGTTGCAGAACTACTTAAATTAATAGCACTACAGATAACACTTTGTATAGAACCAGAGATTACTGTCCTATTTTGTTAAACAGTCATTGTGCCAAGAATCTTTCCAAACAGATGTTTTAGATTTTAATGGGCTGTATATTTTAAGTCATGTGCCATACTTCTACGATGCGACTTTTATAGAATACTAACTTGGTCAGTACGAACCAATTTTTGGTGTAGACCGTCTCTCCCAAATTTAATCTAATTCTCTTCAGAATTTTTCTTACATAAAATATGCGAACGTATAGACAGACTGACACTGTGGGTTCCGATCGTGTAAGACGTACAAAATTTAAAGTAACTTGTGTGTTGCGTTGTGAGAAATATGTGACGCTTACCTCGAAACTAAGCAGCCCACTGTGGTCTTGATCCAGTGTGTTGAAAACGTAATGGGCATATTGACTCGCATTGGCTGGAACAAACATAGAGGATTGTCGTTCACTGGGTTGGATACTGAAGAAAGGCAGTTTAACCTATGGACTGCATAATACATTTAAATACGTGCATCAAATGCAAATAAGCAATTAAATCAAGTCGATTAAATAAAAAGTATCTGTACAACTTACATTTCGATCTCTTTAACACAACTGAATTATCCGAATCAATAAATTTTAAGGCGACACAAGAAACACTGCCGTGTAACAGGACAGGAAATGGAGAAAACTGTAATATATGAAGCCTCACCTATGCTGTATCCTCCAATGGGGATAAGGACATAAAGAAGTAATTATTTTATCGGCAACTACCATCAAGAATCAAGAGTTTATTATATTCTAATGCAGTTGGGACACGAAATGTAAAGCTTCTATCAACTTGTAAACATTAAATATTCCTAATGATAGCAGAATTCAACAGAACATGTAATGTGAGAATGAACATTGTATTGAACAAATTAAAATGCACAATATTTTGAGGCATGTTTTGTTAATTTCACTTAAGAGTAAAATATATGAGAACAATAATAATAATAAAAATTTTAAAACACGTACTACATTTTCGCGTAGGCCTATGTAGATTTCCCACAGTATTCGCTAGTATTTTCGGCTTTCCTTAGATTTATTTATATATCGTGAATAAGATCTACTTGTGACAAACATACAAAGCACGTTGTAAATATATGATCTCTCCCCGAGATATATTTTTTATTGTGTTTCGTAAATATAAAACATATCAGAAATATTACCAAAAAATTACACAAGTCTGAAGTAGCTAACTACTTCAAATTGTTCTTCTGGAAATTTCATGGACAGAGTCCGTTTGCAGAACCTGGCGGATATGGAACAAGATACAATCGTGGATGATAATGAAACACGCTGTGAAGGTCCGTCAGAATAGTGGAGCCAGAGTGGAAGTCCACTGTTAGCCAACGGCTCGCCAAACACACGTTCCCGCTGCAACGAACAGACACTGAATAATCCACTGCTGGACAAAGGTTCGGCAAGCACGTTTCGTAGCAACGGAAAATCAGAATAACATGAATTGTTCGAGGTGGTGATCTGTATTCGGGTAGCCTAGAAGTTAGTTCAGTTCAAGAGAGTTCAATCATTCGGCACTCGTAAGGGAGTTCAATGATTCAGTGGTAAGAGAATTCGTATGACAGTTGTCGTTCAAGGCAATCGCAGTTGCAGAAGTGACCGATTCGTGTATCAGAACCAAATCGCTCACAGTAGGAAGAGAAGACACTCGTAGTCCAGTAAGAAATGGAGCGAGTCTTAGGCACCCATTGATTGTGAGCTGTTACAGTTGGTTGTAATTGTAATAGAAGTGCCAATAAATCGAGTCGTCTAATCCAAAACACGTTATATCAGTCACGGAACCCCTCATAAGCGACAGTACGAACTAAACTGATTTAACTCAGGATACGTTGCAATGATAACAAAGACGCACATTCTCACAGCTCATTTCTTGGGCGTATTTGTGATTCTGTTCGGAGTAAGGCCTAAGTAAGAGCCGCGCCATAGCTCAAGCGGTTAGTCTCTGGCTTCCCACCGTGGCGGCCCGGGTTCGATTCCTGGTCTGGTCAAGTGGGATTTGTGGTGGACAAAGTGGAGCTGGGGCATGTTTTCTCTGAGTACTTCGGTTTCCCCAGCCAATCTCGATTCCACCAAATTCTCCATCATCATAATCACCCGGGGCAGGCTACAATAGGCCAATCAGTGGCCGCCGTGACGAGTGGACCCAGTTGGACTCCACCACCTACTAAGCGAATTAAAAAAAAGGCCTAAGTAGACACTTTATAGTTGAGTTAAAAACATCAGAATGATAACTAACGCAGCAGAACAAAAGTCTTCTTGAAAATATGGCAATCGTTCAGCTGGTAAACAAATTTTGTACCCTAATGGAACCTTAAGTTTCATCACTGTGTCCGAAGCCTATCCTGAGCCTGTCGAATCCGTTTAAATTCTCATTTTTTCAGATACGTCTTAATATTATCTTCCCATATAATTCTAGGTATCTTGTGGGTCCTTCTCTTCAGATCTTGCGACTAAAATGTTTGTGCATTTCCCATCCCCTCCATGAGTGCTACATGCCAAGCCCATATCACTCTCCATCATATCATCCTAATAACATTCTATAAAGAATGTAGATTATGGAATTTATTACGACATTTCTGCCATTTTCTTGTTACTTCTTCTATCTTACATCCGAACATAAATCTTAGCATTTTTTCTCAAAAGTCGTATCTCGTTATACCCTCAGGGCAAGTGGTTCCCAAGTTCTACTTCTTGGGCTCCCATGATGGGAGTTATATATCGTATTTCCTAGATTCTAAGATGCTATCGAATGTAAAACGCACCCCTAATTTTTAGACACAACAATGAACACATATGTAACAATGAACGGGATGATCCGTCTCTACTTCCTCCACAATGGGCCTCATGTCTTAATCGTTCAGTTGTTCTGTTCTCAGAGCTCCTGAACACAGCCGGCGGCAGCTACAGCTGCAATAGCTCGTACTTGTTTGACGCCTGCCCGCGCCTCGACTTTTTGGCAGTCTGGACATGCTCGTCGGTAAAGGGCATCAGCATTGTTGTGTCTTCGGCGTTGACGTACCCGGAAGTAAAGTTGTACCCATGTAGGCGCTGAATCCATGGGCGGTTTGTCCTTCTAGGTTCTTAAAACTCATGAGCCAGGTTAACGCAGAGTGGTCAGTGCGCAGGTGCAACTATTGGCCTTACAACCGAACTGATTGGCGATAGATCGCCAGTCGCAAAGGAACTCTGACCCTATCATCCCTGGAGACAGAGAAAGCGGGACATACCTACAAGAGTTCCACTGGGCAGGCTGAAAATGTTGAAGCGTTCTGGGTAGTCTCACTTGCGTCTCTTGACTCTCTACATTTCTGAAAATTTCGAAGATTTCTGGGATATAAGCACCGTATAATAAAATGTCAGTGAATCGAATTTTCGGAAGAACATATCGCCTCCATCTTAAGGGCGCAGAATAAGCCAAGCAAGATGTATGTAAAAGATATTTGCCATAATTTTATATTTCGTACATGTGCGAAACTTTTATCCCAACGTAGCTTTTTCCAAAGTGGGAGCCATAGCCCACCAGCGGAGCGTGGAAGCTATAATCCAGGGGCCGTCGAAAATGCTAATGGTCGAATTATCGTATAAACCAATTGACGAGAAAGGGATAGATTAAATTACTAACACACAATGTACGAGTATTAACAAAATTATTTTGTACATATAATTTTGATTCATTATTTACTACATTTGTAATTTACTAAATCAAATTTTAAGTATTTTTTATAAGTTAGAAACCCCCCTGAGATTCATTTTACATTGCATTGACGGAATATCCCCTTCGTCAATCATGTAAAATATCTCGGTGTAATCTTCAATAATAAGATTACATGGGGAGTGCACGTAGAAATGATTGAAGCCAAGGCCTTCAGAACATTTACTAGAATCAACTCCCTATTCAAAGTGAGCGTTTAAGCGCCAACGCCACTGGTCAAATCAGTAATGACTTATGTTTGCCTCGCCTGGGAATTAGCGGCAGACACCTACCTCTTAAAATTGCAGCGCTTGCAAAACAAGGTTCTGCGCACCACTGAAAATTTTCCAAGGTGCACAAAGATCCGCGACTTGCACACGGCTTTCAACTTTCCATATGTATGCGATTATATAAAAATTTGTGCAGGCGACAGACAGAAGTCAAACAAAATCATGAGCATGAACATGTCTGCAGCACAAGACATGGCGAAGCCTGACACAGAATATATAAGAGGCTTAAAATTGGTGGCGGCCAAACTTACTACCGTTCAAGTGACTAAGCTGCCGTTGTAAGATAGACATGATCTACTTTGCAATGCCTGGACTGACAAACGGCTTCTATATAGTGTACAAGGAAGAATTTTCAATAACATTTGACGTATACTTGACAAAGTCGAAGCGAAGCCTATTCATAAGAGACAAACCTACCCTCTCGTCATAGAGGATGTGACATAAGGACTATGGCCGCAAGGGTTCATTCGCAAAAAAAAAAATCTCTGGTCGTGTTCCTCTAGGGGTTTGCTGTCTGGCAGTAAACAGCCAGTTGTTCAGTAACTTCAACTTTGACTGTGACTTTGATACTAGCATAGGTAAAATGTTGTTGTATTACCTCCACAGACCTATCAAGTGTCGACTTGGGTAATGCTTTAGCTTTTGGCAAGATTTTAATGAACTGGTCTGTATGGATATCTAAGTGACTACTTTGAAAATGAAGAGAAAATACATTCCAAACCTTCATAAATTGAGTTACAATCCATGATAAGTATTAACTACAATTCACATATTACAAATACTCACATAATAGACCGGACATACCGAAACAAAAGAAACCGTAAACTCGTTCATGACCAGCTACATAACTTGTTCGTACAAATTATTAAATCTCGAAAATTCGCTGTTATGATTACCCAAAATTGCGCAATTTCGGAACTTTCACTATCCGTTACAAAATACAGTACATGCAGTATAGAAGGTTATCACGGAATATATACCGTAGTCCAATCGGAAGGCCTGCGGAGTGTATGTGAAATAGGCGGTGTAGGTTGAAAGCGGTTGCTTTCGAAGCGTAATTTACAGCGAGCCGACTGTTCCATATATATCATTCTTCTTGTCACGTTCAGTGAAGTAGAGTAAGTGAGTTATCACCATTCCATCGGGAAAGTTTCTTTACCGGAGGTAATCCAAACACTCCGCTCAGGGATTTTCAGACTTGATGGAGAAACGAATAATTTAACAACAGAACTTTTCATAACTGGCAGCTACCTTGAAGATTACAGCCTTCCAGAATGTGACGCTAAGAAGTTTGATGATAATTCGTGACGTTTTGGAGGAACATGCAGCATCCATCTTCAAGTTACTCATTCTCCTTGAAGATGAAGGCAGTACGTTCCTTCGAAACGTCGGTAAC